TCAAAACAATCAATCATTAACAAACATCAAAACAATCAATCATTAACAAACATCAAAACAATCAATCATTAACAACAATCAAGTGCTTTAGACAGGATAGCCAACTTGCTACTCGCAGAAACAGCCCGAGGACAACCAAGGCCAAAGTGGTTCAGAAAAAGTTTTGTAAGCTCTATCAGGCCACAGACTGATGAAGTCCTCTGGATGGGGGATGAAACGTTTCTTCACTTAAAGAAACTGGTCCAGATGACACAGTTTAACAGTTTTAACCATTTTTGTTATCTACCTGAATTGAGTTTACAACCTTTTTTTTTTTTTTTAATCAACTCATTGGATTAATACACACCTGTCACCCTCAGATAAAATTAATTTACGGGTAGTTAGGACATTCAAGAACAACTCAAGAACCACCAAAGTTCAAGAGTGCTATGAACTAGAAATCTGTCCACAGTGAAGCTTCACCGTGGACTGAGGATCAGACCAAGGAACAAGCTCTGGACCTAAAGGTGAGACACAAGTTTGACTGAAGTTTGCAGCTGCCCACAAAAAAAAAGTTTGACCTTCTTCAGAGGTTTTCTAGCCTAAAACTGGATCAACTGGCTGCAATAAGAAGTAGTTTGGAGGAGTTAAAGTGAGGCTTTCAAACCTAATAACACAGTAGCATTCAGCATGATGGTAGTAGCATCATACTGTGGTATTGATGCACAAAGTGGAGGGAGTAATGAAGGATAATGTCTTTCAAACTCTTCAGCTAAATGATTGAGACTTGGACACAGTTGGTTTTTCCAATAGGAAAATATTCCTCAACAAATGAACGGATTGATAAAACCCTGACCTCAACCTCATAGAAAATGTGTGGACTGATTAAAAGTTGTGAGGCCAACCAGATTTAAAAACGTTTTGAATAAACTACGAATTGACACATTTCCAGCCTGAATTATGCTAGACGCTTGTTGTCTCCAAAAGGAGTGATTGAGGTGTGACTTGTTGAGGGAAGTTTACACAAACATTAGTGAGAGAATGGATTTATTAAAGCCTGGAAGTAGGTTTGACACTGTACGGATTAAAGAACATCAAAAATACATTAAACTTGTGCACTCAATTCTGCATTAAATCATACACCCCAACTATGTGGAATAATGAGGAAAACAGTCAATTCAACAATAAATATGAAAAACATTTATTTTCTTAAATGATCAACAAGGCATGTGGTCGTAATGATGGGATCAATAACTGCAACAGGTTCCCCCCAAAAGATTAATAAATAAAAAAAGAACAAAGTGAAATGGCCTTAAATTCTAACTTTGAAATCCACCAGAACAGTACTTGAAAAACTACATTAAAACACTCCTATGATGAAAACAGGAACCGACACAAATTCAGATACTTCTCAAACCAAACTTCTACATTAAACTGCTAACTGAGCTCAAATACACACAGTATTACAGTATGCCAGTTCTGACTAGTACTTCTAAGTATTTTAGTCGCTAGGCATGCTTGCTCTTCAATAAATAAGGTGCCCACAGAACTACATGTTCCTATTCAAGAAAAGTCCCCCCTTCTTTGACAATTTCATATACTTCCTGAGTCATGTGACATATTTTAGTCTTCTACCAAAACAAAATAATAAATAACAAAAAGCAACTATAAAAACATCAGTGGTTCAACAAAAGGAGAGAGAAAAAAAAAAGGGTAAACAAACATGATCGCTGCTGCTGTTTAAATAAGTGTGTGTCAGTGGACATGGTACATGTGTTGTAAATCTAACATGGCAGTTCATCGGTGTGTGAAGCTTCTGTTGGCTCCACTGCACAAGCTCTGCAGCCTGAAGGCACAGGTACGTCTGCGCTCCAGCTTCACGAGTATTTGGACCACGGAGGCATGTTTCTATCTGCGACGACAAGAGCCGACACTTCTGATTGGATGGCAGTTATGTGCTGTGAATGTTTCAGGACACCCCCCCCCCCCCCTATTTATTTATTTAAAAATAAATTAAGACTTGTCATCTTCAGTGCAGCTCTAAGACCATCAGAAGTTCTACAAAGAGCAGCACAAATGGATCCACAGCTACAACTATGTACAGCTTTAACTTTTGTATGAAAGACGTTTTTCATTTGAATACACGAGCAGCCTTCAGCTCAGTACCAGCGTTACCATCTTTTACTGGCTTGGAAACCAGAACACTGCTGGGGCTCTTCACGCCTCCGTTTGCTCTGGAAGAATGCGTCTGCTCTCTTCCCATACATAAAAGAAACAGATCTCCACGTGGCCTTACCAGGATCAGTCACAACAGTTAATCTAACGTGAAGCTGCTTTTTTGTGTGTGTGTGTACGACTGGACAGAGGAGAGCCGCTCAGGCACTTTGGTCAACAACCAATGTAGCGGTACCTAATGTGGACAAAGTCTTGCATCTACGAACCTTTCACTAAAAACTGGACGGTAGGGTTTATGTCACAGTAGCCTGCTGTTGCACATACGTGCTAAAATGTTTTGACTTTTTGTGGCTCTACACACTGGAAATCTAAAATGAACTCAAGTTCCAGGCTAGTCCCCGCTTGTGAATTTGGTCAAACTATTTACAGAACTGAACAGTATTGGCGATATTACAGAGTCGTGGTGAAACCCCTCTACTTCCCTCCATACATTCGCTCGATGTCGGACAGGTAGTGGTTCTTCAGCTCTTTCCTCTTCAGCTTGAACGCGTCTGTGACGAGACCAGTCTCCGGAGTCCACGGCTCTGGGCTCAGATGGACTTTAACTGGAATCTCAAACCGTTGGAGTTTAACTACATGGTCAAGCAGAGGAAGAAAACCTTCATGATGAGCAAATTTAAAAATCACAACATCTGGACAACAGAGATATTTAAACAAACGGTCTAGTTGAAGATGCAAGTAATCAGAGTCGGCTCTTACTTTTAGCAGCAACATCTTTAATCTCTCGCAGAACCTCTTTTTCCATCTCGGGGTGAGTGCAGAGGTCCTCCCATTGTCTCTCGATGCCTTTGCTCTTAGCCAGCTCCGTCAGCTTTTTCTGGTTGGGAACTATGAAGCTGATCACATAGTTCTGATCGCTGTAGAAACAGGAGGAAGGTTTAACAAAATTAAAATCAGCAAATTTGCAGTAGAAACATTTACAATTGTTTAATTCATGTGGTGAAGATTTGGTGCAATGGATAGAAAACGTCTATCAACGTGCAGTTGATACAGAATTCAAAACACGTTTCATCCAAGGAATGCACATCGCTCAGCACCGTGCACGTTTTAAACAGACTCCGTGTGATCTGTTCACCGTATATGCTGGGGATCAGTCTACGACCAGATCAAATTTTAACTCAATATCTACATTATTATCCATTTTTTCAATTATTATCTAGGATAAAAATTAAGAAAACTACATGCAAAAATCTTCTGTTGATTTATTTTATTAACAGGCCTTTTATTGTACAGGTACTCAAAATGGAAATAAAAGCCAGACTTTGAATATTTCAAACAAAGGAGGAAAAAAAAAAAAAAAGTGCTTCCAGATAATTTTTTGCTTTGGATCTGTTTGGATGAAAGACCTAGAATTGATGAAGATGATGATTGATGTGCATCTGTTCCTCTTTCCTGTTCCGTTAAGTGCTCTGAGATGACTTCTGTTGTGACTTGGCACTATATAAATAAACTGAACGGGTTTCATCCCAACAGAAAATGTATCGTAACTCGAGAACACCGGAGTCTGATGACGGTTACCGTTTTCCACGCCGCACATTTTCCTTCACACTCCTGCAGGACCTTTGTTTATGCAAACAAATTATCTTCTGTCCACATGTTGTTTGAATAAGATTATGATAGTAAAAGGGAGGTATTGTTCTCGGATGGCACACGAGTTCTTACAAAATTGCAGTAAAAGCAAACGCAGCCTTGTTGGCTCTATACACAGATGTGTCACCGTTTCGTTGGTGTCCGTGTCCTTGATGGCGTTCACTGCATTTGGAACTGTGTGGCCTGTCTCATTGTAATTCAGAGCAACTTACTCACCTGTTGGCGTATGCGCAGATGTTGTCTACGAGCGTGCAGTTTTTCAGAGCTGACTCGACTTTACCCAGAGACACGTAATCTCCGGCCTGCAGCTTGACCAGGTCTTTTTTCCGATCTACATGGGACAATAAGAGCACCTGGTTATCAGATGGGCCGTACAGTTTGTGCAGAAACTACAAGCAGTGTGTGTTTTGGAAACACTGGATTAGCACCGAGTTGGAACGAATATACACACCCACAATTTGTAGACAGCCATCCGGATAGACCTCCCCTATATCACCGGTGCAGAACCACCTCTGTCCCTTCTCGTCCACAAAAAAGTCTTGCTCGTTACTTTCGCGCCTGTAGTAACCCATGGTGACATTGGGACCGCCTATCAGGATCTCCCCTCTAGGATTCGGCTCGTCTTGGCACGTGTAGCCACCTGAGTGACGCACGGATTAAATATCACACATTTTTACCTCACAATTAGGAAACATCTTCTGCGCTGCTCAACATGTTTTTACACGCTTACCCTCAGCCCAGTCCCTGAGTCGGACCTCACAGCAAATCAGAGGAGCTCCAACACGACCGGTGCTGAAATCTGTAACTGTACGATCAGACAGGGAGCGTCATTTTACCGTCTCATCAAACCCTTTTCATGACAGTCACATCCTTCGGGTTTATCCATTTAAACATGCACACATAAAAAAGGGCGTGTATATAAAACTAAAATATGTAAACAAATAAAAACACTCCATAGTTACCCTAACTACTTGTTAGTCACTAAAGTGAGCATTCATGAAAGAAAATTATTCCAGTTACGTGAAAATTTATCCCAATTTAGTTTCATAAACACATCCAGCCTTTATCAACGTTCCTTCAAAAGTCCCTTTCAGGAAGTTTTTTTGGCTTTTTGCTTAGACACACAAAAATAATCTTCCTGCTATTGTGAAGCCAAACAATCCCGGCTTTGCTTTGACATCTGCTAGATGAAGGCAACTTCATCACTAAGACAACAAAAAACAACTTTTCAGAATCAGTTTTTGACGAGTTCATTGCTGACTTCTAGACGAACAACTCGTGTTTTAAAAAAATCAACACACCTTCAGTGATGGTGCCGGCTCCACAGGTTTCTGTGAGGCCGTAGCCCTGACCCACAGGGCAGCAGAAACACACATTCATGAACCTCTGAGTGGCCGAGGACAAGGGGGCTCCACCGGACAACATCATCCGCACCCGTCCACCCAGAAGTTTCTTCACTTTCTTGAACAACAAGCTGCCAAAAAATAAATACATCCGATTACAGACTGATTTTAGGGCAATCTAAAAATGATATGCTAATAAAGGAAGCACTAAAGGAGGAAAAAAAAAACAAAGCAGGTTTCTTACAAATTACAGAGCGGTGCGTCAAAGCCCCTCTTGACTTGCTCCAGTTTATATTTGTAGCCCAATGTAAACAGCGTCCTCTGAATGTAGCCCATTTCCTGCACTTTGCTCATCACATTCTTGTTGATTCGATCCATAATTTCCTTTTTAAAAAAGAGAAAAACGGTTTATTTTAATTTAAAAGAAAAAAATAAATGAGTAGAAACTCCAAATTAAGCAAGAAGGGGAAAAAAACTGATCCAATAAAAGGATGGACTCTTACTGGCACAGCTGCCATCAGGGTGGGTCTGAGCACAGAGCAGTCTCCTTTACTTCCCTTTTTTATTTTAGTGGACTAAGGGGAACAGAAGCAGAAAAACTGATTCATGCAGTGATAACGCCATGAGTAATCCAACACAAACAACGTGTACAAATACGAGCAGTTACAGATGAATAATTACAGTCAGATATAATGTTACAGTCATGGTTCTTACTTGGTCTGACAGTGTCTGAGGGGATGAGTAACCAATCCGGCAGCCGTGTGTGACACAAGAGATTTCAGCCGTCATTTCCAGAACATGAGCCAGGGGCAAATAGGCGATGTAAGTGTCTTTAGGTCTGTCAAAACACAATGAGAGAGACGGGGGGTGGGGGGAATTAAGGCCACCAGTTACCACAGGTTTTCTATACACACCAACTACAAGTTGAAAGCTACTCTAACGTCACGCTGAGTTGAAAAATGTCATCTCCAAGGCAAAGTGCATTTCAGCTACAAATTCAGTAGATTTTTTAAAATCCATGTACTCATGAAACTTACCCCAGTTGAGGGATTCGTTCACACTGGCCTGTCATCCCTCCAATGAGGTTACTGTGAACTATCATGACTCCTTTGGGCCTGCCTGTGGAACCACTGGTGTACATCACCACAGCCAGATCAGAAGGCTGGGGCTTCACAATTGGCCTTTCCACTGCGAGACAAAGCAGCTGTTGTATGGTACTGCATGTGTGAGGGTTGTTTTTACCACCCTCGGATTTGCTTAAAAAGCACACCCCCATAGTAATTCAGACATATACGCACTGTTCTCCTGCAGTGAGCCCAGCTCTTGCACAGCCTCCATGCTGTGGATGGACAGTTCTGCTGGGTAGCCTTCTGTGTTCATTTTCTTCTGGTCTACGTAGATCACGTGCTTCAGTTTGGTGATCGTTGGCAGCACTTTCTGCACAGAAAACCAGACAGACAGGTTCACAACACAGACCTTAACCTTGTGTGAAGCTACTATGCTACTGCCAGGCTGTGAATTTTTTTGCTTTGAAATCACACTGAATTAATCTGTTTGTGTGTCCCATCAACATTACAGAAACTCCCTGCAAAAACCAGGCCAAACTTTGTTGGGGGTATTCTATGCAGAACTGTTGACATCGAGATACAGACTTTAATCAGATGTTGATTAAAGTTAATCCAACGTGTTGGAAACTCTGCATTCACGCTACAATCACCCATCCATGGACACACAGCATCCTAATCAGTGAATGCTGAGAAGTGATGAAATTAAGTGCTGAAGTCGTTTCAGTGTTGAAACGTTTTAAAACGGTGCGTTTAAAATGAAAAACAAATTAATGTCGCGCCTGAAAACATTTCCATGATTACTGAAGTCGTTCTTTCTTTCAGGCATAAGTACACATTCCTCTCCAGTTATGACATTTTTGGTCAGTCTCAGATGAATAGCTCATGATGTACTTAATTAGACACACGTTTTCATGAGAAAAGCCTGATCACTGCTTCTTTTCATTGGTATGGGGGGCGGGTAGAGATCAACTCACTTTCAGTTTGGTCTCAAGCAGCTCAACACTGGTAACCAGATGAGAAACTCCTGTCTCGTTCAGACCATATGCAATCGCGTCTTCTCCCAGTGTGGCGTAGAAAGTCACCACTGCAACCATTACAGAAAACTTCAGATTGGGAACATTATTAGTGCGTTCATTTACCGAACATGCTGTTTGTACTTACAGGGGAAGTTGCGCCTGAAGCACGCCAGGGCTGTGATCATCCACTCTGCTCTGGTTTCACAGAAGATTGCAATGGTGCTTTTGGGCTGCTGCCCCAAAGCTGCCAGTCCACTGCCAAAACTACTCACTATGGAGTCCATTTCATCATAGGACAACCAACTGTAGTCTCCCATGATGAGCTACAACCAGAAATATCTATTTCAGCATGATAGTTTGGTTATTATCATTCATTAAAAAAAAAAAAAAAAGGATGAACCTTCTTACCTTTTTAAAAACTTTGCCATTGGGCTGAATCTCGTTCTCTTCGCTCAGTACCTCCCGGGTGCCAAGACAATGATCTGGTCCGAAACACCGCACAGCATGGCTGAACAGTTTATCCAGTGTATCTATGCCTGGGAACTCTTCTGTTGCCAGGGAGTCAAAGTGGTCCACAGAGCGGTATGGACCCTCCGGGCTCCCGGAGGTGGAGCGGGCTTTTACACGCTTGGACAGAGATTTCTTCTGGCCAGCTCCAGTGATGAAATACCAAGGTAGGAAGGAGAGGACGGAGTACAGCCATATCAAAAAGTGGACTGGCAGGAGGAGGACAGACTGGAGTGTAGAGTCTAACTGCGCACCCATGCTCGCCTCTGAATGTGCAGCAGTCGAAGTCTGGCAAGCCTCGTTTTTCTTAAACCAAAGATTTCTGAGCGCAGTTGTTTTTGAGAATAATCACAGCAGACTGTTTTTCTAAGGGTCACACAGCTGTCTTGTGAAAAATATTTGGTCCAAAGTCCCCGCTGAGTCAGCTAAAGTCGAGATAAAGACAAAAACAACAGGAAAATGGTACAAGTTAAAAAAATATGTGTTTTTTTTTAAACAGTGGTTTCAAAAAGGTAGCTGAAAGACGAACCAACTTTGTCTGACGACAGACTTCACATTTAAAAAAAAAAAAAAATACAGAACTCGTAATAGTTTGTTCCTTAAAACTTAAAAGTGAAATACCAACAACAAGCTGTATCTGAAAAGTACTACAGCCAATCCTACCTGGAGCCCTACTATATACTGTTGATACTACACTCAGTCACATCACTTACCTCCTCCTTGCTCTGCCCCAGTCTCAGTAACTCAATCGGCTTTCAGCGTTTGATTAAATCAACAGCTTACTGAGTGAATCATTCATTCAACATTTTTGTTTAAACACCCGTCTTTCCAGCTACAAAAAGAGCAGGTCATCTAAAAGGTCACCAAGGACCGAAGCGGTGGAGACATGCCCCCTCTGAGCAGACTGACCACTATCCAATGATCACGGCCGCTGTGATAGAGATGCAGACAACCAATGACGACACTCCCGAGGCTCACCCCACTCTGTGGCCAGTGAAAGGCCACTTTAGGGCAAGCTCAGCCTGTCAATGAGGAGGAGGAGGAGGAAGAAGAGCGGGGTTTATAACGGTCCGATAAATGTCTGGATTCTAAGCGAACGAGTGCGTCTGCAACACAGGAACAGGAATGCAAACATGTAAATGTATACATTACAGCTCTCAAATAGGATGTGGAATATCTGAGTATTTTAGAATGTGATCACTGCGGTCAATCCAAATTCAAGATGGTGAGAATGTGTTCAGTTTCACAAATATTGAGACCAGGCCTCCGTTGCAAAAGAGATCCATGATCTGCCTGGTTAAATAAAAAGGTTAGTAAAGTGGTATTAGCTTTCACAACATCTTAAATAAAACTAGAGCAGCAGATCTCTCTGACCGGGCCTCCCTTATCCTGATTGCACCATTCTTCAGAAAATGATTCACATCAGGATTACCAGGTCAAAGCTCTCTCAGTATTTTAGGAAAAAAAAAAAAAAAACCTTGTGCAACGACATTAAATGATGACGCACGCGTGTGCAACAAACCGACTGTCCTTACAACAGAGCATCCGCAAACATTCAAATACCCACATCGTGTGGTTCACAGGAAGTGACCGGTCTCCAACAGAACAATCCAGACGGTTACTCAGCTAACGCAACAGACGCACGTGCATGGATGAGCCATTTCCATGGCAACAATAAGTGTCCGCTTTAAGGCGGATATGGTACAAATCGTATAATTTAAACGTTTTAAACCAAGAGTAACCAGGCTTGTGGTTGTTTTTTTTTTTTTTTTTTACCATCCACTTTTAAAACTATTATAGTCGCCATTAGGAGAATTAAAAAAAAAAAAAAAAAAGATGACGGCGGCGGAAATTCCCGCCGTTAAAACGAGAAGAAACAAGATGTCGTTGGTCTAACAATGATAACAGCGGGGACCGCGGCAGGCGGGTGATGACACAAAAGCCGCCTCAGCTGGTTCCGTTCGAATAACGCACGAGGATGCGCGCGGATTCAACCTGTTCACTGGTCCAAACAAATTAACTCACACACGGTGAAACCACCGGATAAAGGCAGAAATGAGATTAAAGTTTTAGCTAGAGAACGATACCCCCGCTTAACTCTGCGAACCTCGTTACATTCTTACCTTGAGCGAAGGAAAACACAGTCAGTCTGTCGTGCCTCGTATCAGAAATGACCGAAAGTTACCTTTTCACTGAGGTCTAGGAACCCGGAACTATTACGTCATGTGAGTCCATATTTCTCAGCCAATAAGAAGCCGAGGTGGATTTGGCCCCCTTTTTTTTCCTACTACGTCAGCATGACAACAGGAAGTGAGTGATGCCTTTTTTTTTAAATGAAAATCTTTATTAAAAGTAAAACATTACAACGACAGTTATCAACATATGGAACATGAGAAAACAAACTTTGTGTATGATTTATGGGATATTTCCCTAAGAATATTATCAAATTTATGATCTGTCTGGTTTTTTTTGCTTTTGACATGATGGGACTCCAAACAGTACATTGCTCCAGAAGTGAGTCTGTCCCTGGGATGTCTCTCTTGGTTATGCTTACTATTCTTAAAAAATACATTCTAATTTAGTTTTGTTTAATTACAAAAAAATCTGGTGTTTGATGGTCTGACAATATTGCTCTGTTCATCCTAAAGATCCAGTCCCCCGGCACAAACAGAGTAATGTTGTGTATGCTGTTCAGTGTCAGGAGGGCCGTGATCAGTCTTAAATCGGGGAAACAAAACAGCCACTGGCCAAAAGGATGGACCAGCACAGAAGATCAACATCATCAGGCCAGGACTCTGCGGTCTACACACATCTCCAGGCCAGCGGTCACTCTTTCAGGGATGAAGATGTTCACATCCTGGACAGAGAGGAACGATGGTTTGAGAGAGGAGTAAAGGAGGCCATCTTTGTGAAGAGAACCCGTCCATCATTAAACAGGGGTGGAGGCCTCCATGTTTAATGCTGTTATTGCTAGTATCGCTCAGCCCCCTGTGAATAGCAAGCAGCCATCAGTGTACCAAAGATCAAGTGTTAGGCTGATGGTCCTTCTTGATCATGTGAACAGCTAGTTCTGGATGTCAACAACAAACTGGTTGATCCACTGTGTGGAGGTGCTATTTATAAGACTGAGCTGAATACAGCTCCTCAGAATGAAGAAGCCTTTTGGATGAAAGATGAAACGTTTCTACAATTTTTTTTTTTGTTTATTGAACCTGTCCAGAGGACCTGACTTTAAATTTTTTGGATTAAAAGTGGGCTTTTATTTTTTTTTATAAATTTATACATGAACACTTCAATAAAGTTTGTTTCAATGTTAGTGTACAAGGCCAATATGTCTAAAAAAATTGCTGTACTTGTGTAAACGATACATTTCCAGATAAACATCCACCTCAAATGTACATCAGTTTCGCCCTCTAGAGGTCGAAAAGGAAAAAGTACATCTTTTTTGAAAGAACTGCAGAAAAAGCATTATACAAACTGATTATAATCTCCAGATTTACTATTCTTAGTGAATTAAAATCAAATAAAATAACACTGACCTTGGTGTGCCAATGCCAGTATTTTCAAAATGAATATTTTTATATATATATATATATATATATATATATACACCAAGTGCTCCAATGACCACTGGGTCTCCTGACGCTTTGACTCTCCATAACTTGTGTATTTCCTCTTTCAGCCCTTGGTATGTCTCCAGCGTCTTGTGCTTCTTCTCCCTGATGTTTACACTCGCATGGGATTGCTACATCTATCACCGATGTACAAACAGTAAAACAATGATAAATATCATTATATGGTCAAATAAAAAAGCGCTTCAGTGCCATTGGTTTCCCTAAACAAATTCTGATTGTATACCGTGTGCAACAGGTTCATACTATGACCTCAGTAAGAAACACCATAAAACCAAGAGGATCATGGATGTTGCCCTGTAGGGATGAGCATTTCATGAGAAACGTGCTTTCCTCATTCTGACCATATCACACATAGGGGGCAGTGTTATCAAGAGATTGACATTATGAGTGGCTGATGTAAACTGAAACCCTCAAAACACATGGAAGAATGAGAAAGCAGGTTTATTAAAGGGAGCTCCCCTCCACTGGGAAAGTTTTCAAGCATGTTCTACAGCAAAGATTCAACTTTCCCACAAAATAACAACTACTGCTGGTTAGATAATATAAACAGCTAATAAGTTCAGTAAACGAGGACATAACTGTAAACAGATTAATCATATTATATTTGTTCATTTATGACTAATGTTTTAAATGTTTTGTCTAAAAAAGTCTAGTCTGGTAAAGAAAGAACAGACTGCATTAATCACCTCCAAGTTAGATGATGTAACTTCTTATTTTGTCATCTGCCATAATAAACTTGCCTGCCTTTATTCAAATTCTAGATCGTTAGCTTCTTTGTAAAAGTTCACACTCGAGAATACTGCGAAAAGGAGATCATGCCTGTACCGTAGAGCACCACATCAAGTGTGCTCCCTCTACCGAGATTTAAAAAAGCAGCTAAAAAGACACGTTTATTTTCTCAGGTTTTTATTTGATGCTAAAGGTACTCACTGGAATGCATGAATTCAAACATAAAAAGGTTATGCTGGACACATGGTGCAGTTTGAAATGGACTAGAACAGTATTTTTTTTCCAGAGATACTGACATGCAATTTAAAGCAAAGCTTAAAAAAAAAATCTTCATTCAGAGCTTTATAAATCTTTAAATGAAGGTGTGAAAATGTGGAAACTTGAATCATGGGATTGACACATTAGTCTGTGCAGGTAAACAAACTTGGTGGCATTGGACAAAAGTAGGATCTTGGAGATGTTTAGGTGTTAATATAAGAGTGAATCTGCTGTTAAATGCAAAATAAAATAACAGAAGAAAGAAAGAAAGAAAACTGTCGAGACTAATTAAGGAGAATCAAGCTGGGTGTTGGAGTACTATTATGATAGACCTTGGCATTAAACACAAACTTCTGCTACACCGGTAAGATTAATATTTCAACATTAATTGTTGGACTTCTTATTTCCATACGGCTCATAAATGGACGTCATCATTGCTGACCCATTTCAACTGTTTCCATAGGTAAACAAACTCATATGGGCTCTGGTCACAAATTTCACTTACATCTTTTTAACCATATTAAGTTTAATATAAGAACAAAAAAATGTTGTGCTAATATTTTAACTTGGTTTCATATCCATCTTTTTGATTTAAATGGATTTTAATGTTTTTATTTTTATGGCTGTTCCAAAAGCATTCATCACCTTTATGAGTGCACCTGCTGCACAGTGGCAGGAATGAGGAACCATGGAGATATTCTGGGTTTAATTTGTGTCAAATTATATATATATATATATATATATATATATATATATATATATATATATATATATATATATATATATATATGTATGTATATATACATATTATTAAATTATTAGCCACACACGTCATTGTACAGTGTTATCACCGCCCCCGCGGCCTGTCTTTGTGCTCAAATCATTCGCGCGGTAGGACCGTTGGCCCCACGTGTCACTGAGCAGCAGCACAAAAACACAACGGCCGCCCTGCTGCAGCTGCGCGTGCTACAAATACAACGCAGCACATGGTGGTAGCGTCTGGGAGCTGCGCGCGACGACGGACATCATCGGGTTTTTAAACTCCTAGCTTGTTTTAGCTCTTCACGCGCTCAGGTGGGTTAAAGTTTACTTTAAGCTACAAGCTCCGACGTTATCGCTGCACACGGAAAGCTGTGTGAGGAGACACAACTGCGACTCGGACGGGACTTTTTAGACTTGTCTCCCACGTCAAAAGAAACATGTCGACTGGTACAAAACAAGCTAAAAGCTGCCCCATCCCAACCCGGGTCCTCACCCTGAAGGACTGGTCACAACTGCCGGATTGTTACAGCCAGACTCCCGGGGGGACTCTCTTCTCCACCACGCCTGGAGGTAAAACGATCGTTGCCGTCTTATTTTATTTATTGGAGGGGAAAATAAACATTTTGGTTAGGTTTACTCGACTCCTAACAAAAATTCGAGGGGCTACTCGCAAAACGGTGAAATCTCCAAGATAAACTCTCGCGAGAACTTGCGAACAATACCATTTGTACAGTAAAGGCACGAAGCAGGAACTAGTTTGGCTCTGGTTTAGGAATGAATCCAACCAAGAACATGGCAGAACTAAAGAAAACCCAAAGTTGGATCCTCTTTGTGTGCTTCTACAGACTTCTTAAGATCTACAGTAAAAGTTTACAGTTTTAGAGGCAGCTGTGTTCTGTTTGGTCACGTGTTTTGCATTTATATATTTAAAAAAAATGCATTTTAATTTGACCCTGAAACAACTTTTGTTCCCACAATACGGTCGTTTTGGCCTTAAACATCCTGTTTGGAGACAAAAGCAGCTAGCTCGTGACTTTAGAGGAGGCTGTACATGTCTATCATTACAGCAGCCTGATTGGCCTCTGCCTGGATGGTGGGGTTGGAGGCTGTCCTATCTTGAGTTTGAGGAACACTGAAGAACTTTATGTACAAATTTGATGGGGGAGGAGGAGGGGGGGTATTTATTTTGCTTCTAAAGTGGATTGCACAGGAAGTGCCAGTGCTGGGTTTTTACATGCATTCAACCACATGCACAGCTTGGGTTAATGGTGTGTTTTACTGGAGGAACCCCACCTTTTTTTATATAACCATTATACATTGCACTCTAGCCTCGTTACAAGACTCACTCCTGTCTGCTCATCCCCTTCTTTGTCCTGGACAAACCCAGCTGTTACATAAGATGTTTTTTCACAGCGGAGCTGATTCTGTACATAACAGTTCAAATTCCAGTCGAGAAGACTATAAGCAACAGACCACTCCTAACTCGTGTCCTGTTGCACGTCGTCACAGCAAGGCTTTTATAGGCTTGATTGCATGTGGCCCTGGTTGAATTGATGACGGCTTGAAAACATGTCAACATGTTTTTAAATCTAGAGCTGGAGTTGTTGTTTTATTTTTTAAACAAACTAGTACGGTAGTCAGGTGACGGCTGCAGGGTTTAAAAAAAGTCATCTTAACGAGCATGAGCATGCTGCCAGAGTCTCAAACCTCCACAGGAGTTATCATTTAAAACCAAGACTAAATCTTTGCATCTATTTGTAGAGATGCAGTTTAAGTTGAGCTTTAGTTTTAATTTCTGTTTTTGCTTTTGGAGGTGTTTACTCCACATTAAAAGCATCACACGTTCTTAATTTTTCCTATGAAACGCAGGTACTCGCATCATCTACGACAGAAAGTTTCTGCTGGATTGCCGAAACTCCCCTCTTGCCCGGACACCCCCGTGCTGCCTGCCTCAGATCCCTGGGGTAACGGTACCGGCCACACACCCCATGGGGAAACTGCAGGACCTCAAAGAGGAGGCAGAAGAGGAGGAGAAGGAGATCACAGGTGATTTCTTTAATGCTTCTTAAGTGGAGAACAAATGAGAGGTCTGTGCGAAAGTAAAAACAAAACAAAATGTAAATAAAAAGTATTTTAGATTGGAGTCAGTTTTTCCCAACTACTTTTGAATTTGCGATTATTATCAAATAAATGTTTTTTTTTAAATCCTCCATGACTTATTTTGCTTCTAGCAGTTAAACATTTCTTGCAGTGACAGCAGTCATGTGTTTTATTGCTTTAGAGATTATGATTTCTTAAGTGTGGTACTTTTAAAACTAGGCCACCCATTACTGATTACTGATCAGTATACATACCGGTACTGTTGTCTGCTCAATTTTAACTTTAGATAAATCCGTTTAAGCAATTCTGCCTCTGCGTTGCTGACTTACTTGTACAGTAGTCCCTCGCTGCTTTGCGGTTCGACTTTCGCAGACTCTTTCACTGTTTTTCAAAATAAGATTGGACATGACACACAATTGGCTGATTGATGGATGAGCCACACGATTGGCATGGATAGTTTTATTTAAAATAAAATTTAAAAATTATTTAGCACCTGTTGCACTTGTGTGCAGCCCACGGGTGCAGGGATCATGACATGCTCATTTATTAGAGTTTAGAAACATTATTTAAAACACCTTAATTGATAAATAAAATAAAAAAAATATGGATAGATGGATATTAGATAATATTTATTTTATTGTCATTCACATCACATGAGGTGGAATGAAACTATGTACATAGGGTCCCAGTTATGTCCAACAAAAATACAAATTGTAAAGAAAAACGGTAAGATCTGAGACATGAACTAAGAAATACTACATTCACAAAACTAAGAATACACTAATGGTACAAAAACAATGTACCAAAATAACAGCAGCACACATTATATACACACACACACAAAACTACTACTTGTACTTAGGCCTGTTGCAATAAACAATAAGTCAATTAATCCCATGATAAATGAAAATTATCAACCTCATTTTCATTTATTGGCTTTATCCTTTCTTCATGTCTCTCTCTCTCTACTGAGGACACTGGATGACAAAAGGCTCAACTCCAGTGCTCTTCACTGACCCCTTCTTTTCACTGTAAAATTCATCTTAACAATCCAAAATTGTGTTGTTGTTTTTTTTTTTAATCGTTAAAAGCAGCTAAGCTACGAGCTAAGCTAACAGGCTGACTTCGGGGGGGAAAAAAACTGTTGTCGAAGCGCTAAAATTCATGTTTGAAACCCGTGCCTTTGTGTAAAAAGTTGTTTTCTCTGCAAAAAGAAGCTGAGAACTTGTTTACTGATTTTATTTTTTATTAAAAGCTTTGTGTGAAAAATGCCATGCTAAAGAGCTCAAATCACACAAGCGTCCGACATTTTCAGAACAGAAAAAAAAGGAAAGACAGCCCATGTCGCGTCAAAGGGCCTCCCTCCCATTTTTCTTACTCGCTGCTCGCTCCTTCACTAGCCATCCTTCGGTTCAGTTTTATACTACCATCCGGTGGTCAAAAAAGGTACTACATGCAAAACAAATTAAACATTTCTTCTTAAATTTGACAATAATAACGATTTATTGCCAAATTTCAATCAATATCATCTATCAAAATAATTTCGGAGACGGTCGCCCAGCAAAATTTTATCGTTGCAGGTCTACTTGTACTACTCTTCCTACTTCAGTTTTCACTTATCACAGGGGGCTGAGAATGGAAACCCTTTGATAAACAAGGGACTACTGTATTTGTTATGGGCTTCTTTAAAGATGACGACTTCCTGGGATTATAATCCAGTGATTTAAAGGTTTTTGTGTATAAATTCATCAGCGCAGCCCCCTCCTTGAACAAGAAGCTTGGAATAGTCAGTTTGTCTTGTAAGTCTGTTGGTAAACACGGCGTGTTGTACGTCTCCCAGATGAGGACTCTCTTTCTGTGGTCACTTGGGGTGTGGTCGTGTTGGAGAGTTTATAGTCAAATGTTGCCATTTTTAGTCTAACTTGCTTTATTTTTTTTCCTGTCTTGTTTTTTTTCCTACAGATGACAGCCAGTTTGAGATGGACATCTGAGCACCAGTATTGCCTCCTGTGGAGAGTTATTTGTTTAAAAAGCCTTAAGTCATAAATGACTAATGCATTACATATAAAGCTTTTTTTTTTTCACCTTTTTTTATAAAAAAAAAAAAAATAATGCGAGGAACTGAAACGTAAAAATAATTAAACCAGGGTGTTTTTTTTCACTCTGTAAGGAAAGTGTTAAAACAACAAAAAGGGTATTAATTGTTACATCGGGTTGATTGGTTGTTCAACTATTTCATAGCAGCTGTGAGACGAGTAGGAAGTCTAATTTGAGTTGCCTTTTTTATCTTTTGTAAATAAGAAACTTGTCATGCAGCCAATATTTTAAGTTGAGGAAGATTACATTAAGACATGTAGAAAAGGGCGTAGAACGTTTTCTGTTCCCCCAGAAACAGGGAGTGAAACTTTAATTATGATGGGTAGAGGTTGGGTTCCTACTGAAAATCAGCTCTTGCTTTGTTTTGTATGGAGAGAGCGACGAGGTGTGAACGTTTCAAATAAAGATTGTGAACCGTCAGGTGTTGTCTTTTTATTTCCATCCCATCAGTTTTTAGTAATTTTGCGTTTCAGAAATCCACAGCGTGAGTCCTACATGTGTCTTCACTTAGTATTTCTATCACCGCTACCATTAAAGCAGGCGATGATGTAATTGGTGCTAGCAGGTCTTGTATGCATAAAATGTGTCCTGTTCTCGGATGTTAAAACAGGATTATCTTTATTTATTTATTCACACAATCTTAATTCTTGTAAAAGCATGGTTCAGTTTTACTTTTACAGTAGAGCTTGGTTCAGTTTTACTTTATTTACAGTAGAGCTTGGAGTGAATGTTTCATTGTGTTCATTTTACTCGTGACTTGACGATTAATGAATTAGTGTTCTGACAGATTTCCAGTCAGACGGGCTGAATCGGCTCATCTGTTGACTTTAAGCAGTGAAGCTAGACGAGTTACTGCCTAATTCAAGTGATTTATCACTTTTATCTTGATGCAGCATTCAGTTTTAAATGTTAGTCCTATAAATTTCATGTACAGTAAGTTTTTAAAAAGATACAACAGAAACAACTTCTGCTCTTCTATTAACCCTCATCTGTTTTAATTATTTTTTTGATAGGGAACACAAAACGTAATAAACACACCAGGAGGATTAAACCACAATTAGAAGATCTTTAGACCACTCATCTACAGGTGCTGGTCATAAAATTAGAATATCATGAAAAAGTTTTTCAGTAATTCCATTCAAAAAGTGAAACTTGTATATTATATTCATTCATTACACACAGACTGATATATTTCAAATGTTTGTCTTTTAATGTTGATGATTATAACTGAACAAACTTTTAGAAATGTTGGCCAACTGAAAAGTATGAACATGAAAAGTATGAACATGAAAAGTATGAGCATGTACAGCATCAGTACTTAGTTGAGGCTTCTTTTGTCTGGATTACTACAACAATGCGGTGTGACATGGAGTGGATCAGTCTGTGGCACTGCTCAGGTGTTATGAGCCCAGGTTGCTCTGATAGTGGCCTTCAGCTCTTATGAATTATTGGGTCTGGTGCATCACATCTTCCTCTTCACAATACTCCATATATTTTCTATGGGGTTAAGGTCAGGCGAGTTTGCTGGCCAGTTAAGAACAGGGATACCATGGTCCTTAAACCAGGTACTGGTAGCTTTGGCACTGTGTGCAGGTGCCAAGTCCTGTTGGTAAATGAAATCTGCATCTCCATAAAGTTGGTCAGCAGCAAGAAGCAGGAAGTCTCTAAAACTTCCTGGTAGACGGATGCGTTGATCTTGGACCACAGAAAACACAGTGGACCAACACCAGCAGATGACATGGCACCCTAAACCATCAATGACTGGAAACTTGACACTGGACCTCAAGCAACGTGGATTCTGTGCCTCTCCTCTCTTCCTCCAGACTCTGGGACATTGATTTCCAAAGGAAATATAAAATCGACTTTCATCAGAGAACATAACTTTGGACCACTCAGCTGCAGTCTCAGGCAAGACACTTCTGATGCTGTCTCTTGTACAAAAGTGGCTTGACACAAGGAATGCAACAGCTGAAACCCATGTCTTGCATACATCTGTGCATGGTGGTTCTTGAAGCACTGACTCCAGATGCAGTCCACTTTTTGTGAATCTCCCCCACATTTTGGAATGGGTTTTGTTTCACCATCCTCTCCAGGTGCAGTTATCTCTATTGCTTGTACACTTTTTTCTTTCTACCACATCGTTTCCTTCCCTTCACTTCTCTATTAATGTGCTTGGACACAGAGCTCTGTGAACAGCCAGCCTCTTTAGCAATGATCGTTTGTGTCTTGCCCTCCTTGTGCAAGGTGTCAATGATTGTCTTTTGGACAACTGTCAAGTCAGCAGTCTTCCACATGATTGTGTAGCTACAGAACTAGACTGAGACCATTTCAAGGCCTTTGCAGGTGTTTTGAGTTAATTATCTGATTAGACTGTGGCACCAGGTGTCTTCAATATTGAACCTTTTCACAACATTCTAATTTTCTGAGATACTGAATTTGGGGTTTTCATTACTTGTCGGTTATAATCATCAACATTAAAATACATAAACATTTGATATGCAGTAGTCTGTGTGTAATGGATGAATATAATGTATAAGTTTCACTTTTTGAACGGAATTACTGAACTAAATGAAGTTTTTCATGATATTCTAATTTTATGACCAGCACTTGTTTGCTGTTTTATCTCTCCGTGTATCAGCAGGGTCGCGGCCGCGGCTGCTCGCTCGTTCCAGATCTGTAGATCACTGACAGCAGGGGAAGGCCAGGTCTTCCAAGAATGCTGGCAGCTGCACGCTGCGCTCCACACATAGCAAAACCACATCGTCTCATTGGGCAGGAGGACTTATCTTTGTCCAGACGTGCAGCTCCAATTTCAAATTCGAATCATCTGTGGCCTATGTGTTTATTTCAGATTGTGGATTGTAAAGATATTTACGTCGAGGTTCGTCTCGAGCAGGTTCGATGAGCTGTTCTGCGCCCCACGTGTGGCTTCATGATGTAGGTCAGGCTTACGCTGCTGTTCCCGTCCCCAAGGCCTCACAAGCAAGAAACTGCCTCTTCATTCAACACGATCCACCTCTTAAGGTTTAAATCAAGTCAGTGTGTGCAACTATTTCTGAAGATGATGGTTTGTGTCCAGCAGCATAATGTAAGGTTATAAAAGAAAACTTCAGGGTTAAAGGTCACTGCTATCTGTGCTGTTTATGTACAAAAATAGGGAAAAGAAGGTGCCCGGTAACTGATGAGCAACACGTGACTGGCCTGTGTTTCCACGGATTTCCCTTGTACTTGTCACAAAGGCCAAAAACTCCACGTGCATGCGTATAAAAAGCCCAAATTTAATCACTGGCATGCACGTCAAAGAGAATATTTTATTAACAAATGCACATTTAGCGATGTAGCACCACATGTCGTCTATGAATATAAACACAGATTTAATGTCTGCGTTGCAACATTTATCACAAAGACACTTTCTGAGAGTTTCAACAAAATGCATTCAGACATTCTTGAAGTATTTTGCTAACGCACGAACAGGTAATGCAAACGTTCGATTTAAGAGTTTCAGCAAGTTTCAGTGGAGCTTGGAATATGTGTTGGAGACGAGCATCGGCTACTACCACACACAGTTTCAGCCGTGTCTCTGTGAAATCAACCAAGTTATAGCCAAATTTCTATAAGCTAAGCTTGGTTAGCTGTGGTGACCATTTTTAAAGATAATGACTTCAAAATTTAATCACGTGTATAGGTAGACCTAATGGTCCTTTCCTAAAAGCTTTGTTAAAATCCATCCATTGTTTCATGAGATATTTTGCTAACAGACAACGTTGATCCCAATAGATATTTACTTGTCTTAAATAGAAACAGTACTCAAATCAGTTTGTGCTCAGAAAATTTGTTGGGGAATACTCTAAGCTACGTCCACACCAAAACTTAGCTCAACTTCTGTAAAACTGACTGAGTTATAGTCATTTTAGTGTTTACCAAGGTGGGGTAGCTGTGGCAGCCATTTTGAGATGTTCAACTTCAAAATTTAATCAGCTGCAGAAACCTATTATTGGATTATATTCTGAAAGTTTCATTAAAGTCCGTCCTCAGGTTCATGAGATATTTTGCTAACAGACAAACACGCATACAAACGCGTTAAAGCCTGCCTATTGGCAGCAGGTAATAAAACGGATCGAGCAGAACCATACATTTAACTTCACTGCAGTATGTTTGTGGATAACTGACACCAAAACAAAGTGTTGATCTAAACAGATTTTCTATAATTAACTGACACAGTTTTTAATTTTTTTTTTTTGTTTTATTGTGAAACCATGTATTCATGTGAAGAATTCTTCATTGCAGCAGCTGTAACACTCGAGTGGGAGTGGGTCTAAATAGGGTGTCGCTTACTGAGCATGTGACAGTGAAACACGAGCTTGTTTGAAAGTCACTGGAGCAAATCACCGAATTATGATCCAACAATACTAATTTATTACCAAACATTGTGCTAGTAAAATCCAGATTACGTAATCCCTCATTGTTTCTCAGTTTGAATCGTGTACAGACGTGAAGTGTTGTGGAAACTCTTTCGTCGCAGATGACACGTCTTGCTTAAAATGAACCCCGTCAACTCATGCGAGCCCCATCGGAGGCCAAAGACAGGCCGAGGCTCTATTTTAGTTCCCAGCTGAAGCCCAGGGAGCACATGCTCGGGGTAAACATCGTCAGGGTAACAATCTAAATACGCAGCCTGCTTCCAGGTATCCATCAGCTTGGAAATGGATGGTGGGGGTGTCAACATGTGATTCTATAGATGAACACGCTTCACGTTGGGCACATGCTGGAGACGCAGCCAAAAGTCTTTCAGCGTGAGTTCATGAGTAACAAAGCAGCTCATGAAATAACTCGATCCCTCGATTTCTGCTGCACTTTGACACCAAACCTGAGACACAAGCAGCTCTTAACGTCATGGACTTCTAGTATTTGAGTACACTCTATCATTAGAGTAATATTAGCCAGTACTTGGAAAGAGAAACATTAAAACATTTTGGCATTACGTTTTATTGACTCTTTTCTTTTTTCCTCTCTCTCTCTGAAAACAGTCTCTGTTCTGCCTCATCTGACTACTGGTGTATTGTTTTCCTCCAGGCCAGACATTGTGCTGTATTTATATAGAAAGAAAAAAAAAACTTTTTGGAAATTTGCCACACTTTTGAGTTTTAAGTTTCATCCCAATTCACACACAGGCATGAATGTGCACATTGTTGTGCAATATGTTGCAACATCATCCAGTTATGCTGTATATAGTTACACGGATTGTTTAATTTACATTCTACTTTTAGTGTTTTTTTTTACTGTTTTTAATGCCCTCTGACATATTGCTGAACTTATTACGATGAGACTTTTATTCCATCTGCGGTGGCTGTGGCTCAGTAGCGTCGAAATGCACACAGAGGCTCAAAGATTCATTCAGCTAAGTCACTGCAGAGCTGAAC